TAGAAGTTCTTTTTGGAAGTCCACCTAGGTGTTTATCCAGCATGTCCAGTGCTGAGTCTCTGCCCCTGAGGAATTTAGAATGTGGTCATAGAGACCTCACACACATAGCTGGAACTACAGTGGACAGTGCAAAATGGCTTATAATAGCCCAGCACTCGATCATATAGAGCCTGGTGCTGTTTTTGTTTGTTGTGTGAATCTTTCTAATTGACCCTTTCTGTAGAATGTGAGATCCTTAAAGGACTGAACTCGGTCTGAGTCAACAAACACTTGTTGAGCAACTGCTCTCTGCCTAGCACTGTGCTGGACTGTGGGGTATGAATAAGAATAACCAGCACTATAAAGAATCTCACTGTATAGCAGGGAAGATTAATGCACAACTCCTAGGAATTACAATGCAAGAGTCTAGGTACTGGAATGCAGCACAAAGAATAACTAATTGCCTGAGGAAGAGTTCCCTAGAGGCAGGAATATTGACTTCGGTTGAATAGTAAGAAGGCCATTCTGAGCCTCAGTAGAAAGGGACTAGAAAGTAGCATCCCTGGTGGAAAGAACAGAGCTCACAGGTAGAGAGTATGAAAGAGCATGTTGAGTTTGCAGGAGTTTGCTCTGGTTGGAGTTTAGGAGTGTCTGTTATACTAGGGGAGGGGCGGGAGATGAGTTAGTTTGGGTACCACTTTCAGAAAGGCTGAGAACATGATGTTGGAGAGACTCGACTTTATGGGTAATAGCCATCGAAAGTTTTTGAGCAGTGATATAGTCGGATGTGGGGCCAAGAAAGATCACTCTGGCCAGCATAAAGCTGGTTTTGGAATAAGAACTTGAAAGCAGCAAGGCTCTTCATGGGTCCACTGTGAACCAACTTCTACCTAAAACTGTACAGTTAGTAACCAGGAGACCTAAAGATGGAGAAGAGGGAACTGGATGGGTGTTCACTGAGAGGTTCATTCAGCAAACATTTCTGGAGTGCTCCTTGGGGATAAAATAAGATACAACGGTTTTAAAAGGCAACGTCATGATTTCCTGATTTCCAGTTTCATTTTGAAGGTGAAGGGTATGGAAGTATTTGGTACTTAATAGGTACTCAGCTATGTGTGTGAGAGAGAGAAAGAAAGAGAGAGATGGATGAATAGTGCCCTGGGAAGGGTAGAGGTTTAGGCCAACCTCTATTGAATTCCATTTTAGACAGAATGGGTTAAAGATGCTTTCAGAACATCCCCGTGGAGGGCTCTAGTAGGCACCTGAAAATCCAGGTATGTGAACTGGACAATGGTGAATGCTGCAGTTATGTACTTGGGAGTTTTTAACACGTAAGTGATAGTTGAAGTTGTGGACTTCAGTACAATTGCCTGGAACTGTATAAAACATAAAGAAAAAGTAGACAGAGTCCTGGGGACTACTGATAATGAAAGGGCGGGTGACAAAAAGAAGCCAGGCTCGGGGACTAACCGAGAGAAATGTAGGGGAGGAAGCATGCAAAGGCAGCATCTAAGAAACCAGATAAAGACATGGTTAGAAAATAAACATAAGCTTACACATGTAATCGACATTTAATAGTTGATCACCTGGAAATGGAAAAGCATAGCCTATTCCTTTAAGTCTGAAGAAGACTTATGTTTTCCAGAAGTGCACGTCCTTTAATCTCTGAGTATAGATTAGTCTAGCAGAATAACAACAACTGAGCTTACAGTGTAAACAATATCGTTGTTTTGTGGAACTCCTCTCAAGGGATAAATGAATTCTCTCAAATTTCTGTTCATCACTCTAAATTTTACATTCAATTGAGTGTTCAATCAGAGTTTAAAATGATTCTGTGACTGTGAATGCTTAGAAAGTTGTGCTTTGGTAAATTGAAAATAATTTTTCTAAAGTAATGGGCTAATTTGAAATCTATGTCCTTTTTCTTGGTTTGATTTTTGGAGCCTAAATTGTGAGGCATATTCCACTGACTGTAACAAAGTGTCCTGCTCCACTGGGGATATGGTGGGGTGCGGGCTTCTAAAATCATTCATTATTGGGGAGAGGCTGGCACTCAATAGGGCAAACAGTGGATGCTTATTGAATGAATGGATGATGTCCTATTGTCCCTCGTAAATATTAATCCACATCTCAAAGGTGTCTGCATTCAACGAAATGAAAAAGAAAACATTTTGAAACTCATAACTGAGTAATTAGAGATTAAAACTACTACTTGCTCTTTCTCTTTCTTGTGGGGACTGTATTGTGCACAGAAAGCTGCCCTCTGAAATCCCATTAGAGCCGCTGACTCTGTAAAAGCTTCTTGGAGAAAATCTTTTATAAATAATAAGCGTTAGAATGTGGCCTTCAAATTCCCAGAGACTTGTATTTTTCAGATTATTCAACGTCTGGATTTAGTTTATTCTTTCAACAAATATTGATTGTCTCTTCTATGCTAGGCACTGAGAAAATATAGTGAATAAAACATTAGAAGATCCCATTTTCCTGGAGTATACATTCTAGCCAGAGGAGAAAGGCAATAACAAATAAGGATGTGATGTGTGTCAGTGGTGATGAGGGCTAAGGATACAGCTAGAGCAGCGAGAGGGGGTGGGGAGGGGTGGGGAGGGTGGCTGTTTTAGGTGCAGTGGGTATGGAAGGACAGGTAAACTGAGACACAAGCTCAGTTGCAGTCCCCTTACAGCTCACCCCAACCAGCAGAGGGCTGGGGTGAGGGCAGAGGTGTGTTTTGTGAATGCAAACATCAACCAACCACAACCCCTTAGTGCTTAAACATTATGATATATAATTTAGATAACAGCTGTCAAAAATCAACTCTTTGATTATAATGGTAAGACAATTTTTGCAGGTGACTTTAAAATAAAACCACTTCCATTATTCAAAAATCCAGAATGACAATCAGCTCTTAGGACTAAAATGACCTGCTAGTGCTCCTTCTTCTTTTTTTTTTATGGAGACTTTTGCTCCCCTGCTGAGACCATGTATTATATCTAGTTTCACATCAAAATGAATTTTTGCTGCTAAGTTTGAAAACCGCCTGAAAATAGCAATTAATACTGGAAAAGCTGACAGAACCTTAAGTGTAGTGGCATGATTGGTGCTGCTATAATTATGTGCCTGAGTGTATACATGTCTATGTAAACACAGTATGAAAACACACTTGATGTCCAGGACAGTGGCTCAGTGCATTTTCTTGCAGCTAAATGAGGGGAAGAGAGAAGGAGAGGAAGTTGGTAGAATCTTTATAGCACCATCAGGTGGTGTAGATGCTCCTAGTCTTTCTTACATCTATATAAACTTGTTTCTGAAATTATTGTCACACTCATTGCCTCATTTGATTCTCACATTTTGGTTGGGGATGTGGGGAGGCAAGGGAGTTTTTATTCTTCCCATTTAATGGATGAGAAAACTCAGTGAGTCAGCTAGGATAACTTGAGTTTCTCATCTGAAAAATGAGGAGATTGGACTCATGTCATCTCAAGGCATCTCCTAGTTCAACAGTTCTATGACTTTTTTTCCTGATTTTCCTGAGGTGACACCCCTGTCTAATGGTAGAGATCCCCTTTTAAGTCCAAACCACTTTCTGCCACACATTTCCTCCTTATAGTCTTCAAACCCTTTACAGCATGTTTAATCATCTGTAAAATGTAATGTCTACTGTACAAGGTTGTTGAGAAAATTGTTGAGGGGATTAAAGGGAAGGCTTGTGAAGCACCTAGCAAAGTGGTCGCTTGTATTATTATTGCCATCACTATGACTAACAAGAAGGGAGTGTTGTATAATGGGAAGAGCATTGGCATTGGGAGTCAGGTCAGTTTCTAGTCACTTATTGATGTGTCATCTTGGACAAGGAGCTAACCTTTCTGACCATCCTATAGAGGGGAGCTGAAAATTCCTATCTTGATGGGTCATTTGAAGACTAAAGGAGAGGATGTACATAGAGCACCAGTCCCCGTGTCTGCCATGTCCCCGATGCTCAATAGACAGTTGGCAGGTATGAATGATAACCAACTTTCAAAAGAAACTGGGATATATTTTCATAATTCTCTCAAAACCTGAAGTGGTATTTCAGAGAGGTAACGTATAACCTTGAAATTAACAGAAGCATACAGCCATCTTTTAAACAAATAAAAGGAAAAAGAAGATTCTGAAGTTTAGTCATTCTGTGCACGTCTCAAAGGGAGAAGAAAAATCCACGTGCAGCCAGTAGTTAGTAAATGTTCATTGTGGGGTTTCAGGTCAGAGGGTCTTCTGAAAACTGGTATATATTTTGATCAAGTCTTCCCACACTCCCCACTACAACAAGCAGATGGGGTTATGCAGTTTACTTAGAAAAGCTTGCTTGCCCTCATTGTACCGCTTTCTTTGAAACGGAACCACTTGAATAACTGTGAGGAACTGCTTTGCCATAATGATGGCCCTTATGAGGGACCCAGTAGAGTTGGAAATCAAGAGCCTACAGTTCTGTCTCTGGCAGTATGGTCACGGAAAAGGCTGGTGGCAGAACTGAAATGGACTGTGGTTACTCGTCTCTGTGGAGGATTTCTCGGTACTGAATTTCCAGGGCACAGTAAACTGACATTTACAGGCATCTGTGGCCACATGCTCTGGAGCTGTGCTGCGGATGTGTTGGCAGCTGCTAAGGAGTTGCAAGGTGGGTGGCACTGCCCTGGACCTGTTATTCTAAAATCTAGTTGATGATTTAAACCACTGGACCCAAGAGAGGTATGTATCGTACAAAAAACCAATGTTGAGTCCGATATTATTTATTACATGCATTGTTTGAAGGTGATAAAATATAGCACTGGACATTTAAATATGACATTTTTCTCTTATTTGATGTATGTCTATCCTGGAAATTACTCTCACTGTGTCTGCCCATCCTGTGTGGATATCTCAAGACATTCCACAATTTTGAGTTTTCTACCTGAGAGCCATACACTAAATGCTTTGACCAATGTCTGTTATGTTTGGTTGCCTTCCAGTTTTATAATGTGTGAATTTCCTTTTTAATATTCTAGGGGAAAGCAATGGTATTCGCCCCACGCCGAGGGAATACTTTAAACCAGTTTTGCATTCTAGCTGAAAAAGCTGGTTTCTCTATCCAAAGACATGAAAATTATGATGAACACATTTCAAACTTCCACTCCAAGGTTAGTTTTCTGCTTGTGTTAGATAACACTTTAATCCGCATTGCATTTTGAAGAGATCATGGTCTTTTTGGCAGGTAACCTAAATATTTGATTAAAGGACTCCTTAGGTGTGCTGCTTCTGAACAGCTATTTGTATCTGGTTATTTTGTGTGGCAAAGCCATCTTTTATCTTTGCATGTCTAGAAGGATTTTACAGAAACCATTCCTGTTTACTCCTTTCTCTGAAACTAACTAATCTCTTCATTCATAATGGACTGATTTGTAGGATGCAGGGGAGGTGGCATAGAATGAATGATAAACAAGCATTTATATTTTAATGAAAAACCTTCAGGTTTTAAGTAGGTTAAATGCTTAGCTGCAACTGAAATAAATAGAAGGTGAATGTCTAATTGTATCATGTTAGACTGTAAATCTTTATCTCCACTTGCTTTATGGCTGGGTCAGTTGGCAGTTTGAGACTGTTAAATCTCACAGAATTTCACAGTTGTGGGGTTATATGTCAGATCGAGGCGCTACAAGATTTAGGTCAAAAGCACTTATCTGAGAGTGATTTCTAAGCTTGCTTACATAAAGCAATGTTATCAGCCTTTTTTATTATTTATAGGTATAGAGCAATATAGGACACTGAGAGGCCAGCGTTCCACTGAAAACTTTTTAGGAATCTCACATTTACTAATACATATCACAGTTACTCGTATAACATGGATTTCTTCTGTAATTTTGTACCTTACAGAAATCTCCCTTCTCTGAGCTAGTCTGACCTTGGCAACAGACTTTGACTTGTCAATTTTGCAAGTCATGACTGCAGAAAAGTAAAGGCCTGACCTTATTTTTCTCCTGGGAAAATGTGTATAGCATTCTTTATTACCCAGGACTATGATATAATGTAGAAGTGTGCTGACTTTTGAAAAATTATATGCAAAGTAAATCTGATCTTCTAAGCAGTAGAAAGGAAATCCTCACTTTCTGGAAATGGGTTCATTTCTTAGGGTCCCTGGGGCTCCATTTAAGCTCCTGGGGGTGGGGGAATATTGGTTTGTGAACTGAAAGGGTTAAATCACTTCCTCTCACTGATGGAATCAGGCCCTCTGCTTACAATCAGAAAATAAAAACTAAGTGGCATGTTATGCAAATTTTACCTACCTCTAGAAATGATGTTCTCCTTTTTTCAACTCCTCTCCAGAACAAAAGGAATGACTTTGAAGGCTTTACCTGGTCCAGGAAGGGTCTCTCCTGGCCCCCTGGGCTCTTCTACCCAAAGGGATAAAAATGGCCTTTTCTCCAGGGTGGGGCTAGAGCTACAGGGCCCAGCTGACAGCTGCTTGACATCCTGTCATTCACTTTCCCCCCTAACCAAAGGACAAATGCTGTTAGTTTCTCAGTCATAGCTCAGGAGAGCAAATGCCCCAGGTTTCTCCAACAGCAGAAAATTTCATTATACCTAACACACTCTGTCACTTCTCTGCAAAATCTGAAGTGTGTTAGAACATGCCAGGCATCCAGTCCTCGGTGGCCACCTCTCCTTTGTCTAGAGCTTTAGATTGTCAGCACCTAGTGGGCAGCAACCTCCTCTTTTTATTTCCAATGTTAGTACCCTGCTAAGCATGGCCTGTTTATCCACAGGGTCACAAAGAGTCGGACTCGACTGAGCAACTGAACAACAACAAAACATGCCTCTTAGATTTATACTGTGCACCCCCAGTTCAGTTCAGTCGCTCAGTCGTGTCCGACTCTTTGCAGCCCCATGCACTGCAGCACCTAGGCTTCCCTGTCCATCACCAACTCCCAGAGCTTGCTCAAACTCATGTCCACTGACTCAATGATGCCATCCAACCATCTCATCCTCTGTCGACCCCTTCTCCTTCTGCCTTCAATCTTTCCCAGCATCAGGGTCTTTTCTAATGAGTCGGCATTTTGCATCAGGTGGCCAAAGTACCCCCCAGTACCCTATAAATAATCATGGTCTGATTAATTGGCCCCACAAAAATACATTTCCATGAATAAGTGACCTTAGTGTTTATTTCATCATAATTGCTTCAAAGTTCAGTTCCCTACCTTGCTGACACTGGACTAAGCAATAGTCGCCCTCCTCTTTTGGTTCTTGTGACAGGTGAGAGCTGCATTTGGCTCTCAGGAAGTAGAACCCTAGGGGAATACTCTACAGGCTTGGGGTGCTGTACCTAGATGGTATAAACGTGCGCCCATGATGTATATTTTTCATGATGAGAGCAATTTCAGCTGGCTTGCAGTCCCCCTGCGTCTAGCCAAAGAATGCCTCTTATTCCTTCTGTACCAGAAGCATAAAATGCCCAGCTTTTTAGCTCCAGCAGTGGGTTTAACCGTGTGCTGACTGGACGGAGAGAGGCCTCCAAGGACCCAACTCCCGCTCGCTTTCCAAAAGGAAGGTGCCCGGAGAGGATCTCGCCCAGAGGCCAGATACAAAGCCGCGGACCCGGCTGCAGAGAGTGGGGAGCGTCCCTGCTCCTTGCCGAGCCCTCGTGCTCATCAACGGGGCGCGGGAACGGAGGCCGAAGGCAGCCCCCGGGTCTCCTCCGGCCCCTGCACGCCCCCCGCGCGCCCCGGGCTCCGGGGATGCGTAGGGGCCGGCGCGGCCGCCGCGATCCTCCGCCCCAGCCGCTTTTGTTTGCCACGTGCTAATAGCCGGGGCTTAAAAGTTTTCCATCTTGAGCGGCAATCAGCTTTCTTCCTCTCCATCCCTGGCCAAACCCCATGGTCCCAGGGACGAACCGACTCCCAAACGGAGGAGCAGCGTTTTCCTTCAGGCTGCGTGTTATCCTCTTAGCCCTACTGTGTTGGAATAGAGCGTAACCAGCTGGAGGACTGTAAGACGCCTGATAATGCCGCTCTTTTCCGCTGTCCCGTCTTAATCTTGTTACACAAATGGTTGTGAAGAGATTCATGAATTTTAATTTTGCCCTCTGCATTAGTGCCTCACGTCACTCATACACAGCTGCCTTCTATGCCGAGTTTTTCAGCCCTCCTCTTACGACAGGGGAAAAAATTAGTTACAATCTTGGCAGTAGTGCAAGGTTAAAAAAAAAAAAAAAAAGAATCTACAGATTTAGGCAACCACCCATGAAGCTGATTAACAGTCATGATCAGGAGGAACAGCTTTGCCTCTTAAACTTTTCACCTTCCATTGTTAACTGTGAAATTTTATTTCCGTTAAAAAGCAAGCCTGTAATCAAAACGGTGCCATTCTACACTTTCTGCCAGTGCTTTTGTTAAATTGTGCCCACACCGCTCAGTCACCATACTCAGGAGCCAGGCAGCCGAAGGTGTAGTGTGTTTTTAAAATATTGCCTCTCTGTTCGTCCAGGCATTAAGGAGAAAAAACAACACTCTTCCCTCTCCCACCTCACCTCGTCCTCTCCTCCAGGCTAGGGATCAAATGCATTGCCCCCGTGGTGGGGCTCAAAATGTTTAGGATGTTAAGACAGCCAATTGTTTAGCAAGCTAGAGACTTGACTTAGAGATTACAGCTGGCTTGAAATAAGTTGATAAAAATATTCTCCATTATGCAAATATCCTTTGAAATATAATTCTACATGTCATGGTTTTCTTTTCCTTTTTTTTTCTCCCCAAACTTTAGCAAAACCAGCCCGTGTGTTTATTTTCTGTATTTTTGTGTTTAGCCAGGAAAATAGGCTTGAGCTCGGCTGTGAAGTCAGTACATTGTGTTAAAAGCACGGCCATATTGCACTTCTGCTTATCTATTCAAAATGCCACTTTACAAGTGGCTGGTGCTTATAATCTGTGTGGTGTGCTGTTGATAATTGTGGATACTGTAAAGGGTAAACAGTCTGAACTTCACTCCCGCTGCTGCTGTTCTCGCCGTGGTGAGGCTGAACGTGTTACATCCAATTATGAAGTAAAGCGTAATGTCACTAATAGCAGCTATATAATTTAGTTCAGTCCTCAAAGACCCTGTTTTAACCTATGAAATTGAAAAATTGTTTTATTCACAATTTGCTTTTTGTTCATTTTTTCTCCAGGTGTTTTATTTCTTGAAATTATAATTGTTCATTGGGCAAAGAAGTACAGCCTGGATACACGGAATTATTCTTAAACCATATAACGTTCCCCCATTGAAGCCAGTATTTCCTAACAGTTTTGTGTGTGTTCAAGTGCACTCACGTAACAGGCTGGATTCGGAAATGATCTGGGGTGTAGGGCTGCCTTTGAGGGTTTTCAGCTCTTTTCTGTCGTCGTCGTGGTGTGAAGGGCTCACAGTCCACAGGGCTGGCCCCTGGCCCCTTCTAGCAAGGAAGCCCCCGCTTTGGCCTCCAGAGGTCAGCATAGAATCCAAGTTAAAAGTGATTTCTAACCCATATTTACCAAAGAATTATTTATCCCACATATTACCTCAGGGACTTTATAAAGAGCTCATTTGAGTCTCTGTATATTAGTGCATTGTGAGTGAGTAGGTCAGCTGACTCACGCTGAGTAATCAACTTTCCCTTATCCCCAATCCCAGAGGAAGAATTTAGCTAGCTTGGCCCCCTCTTCCCTGTGTAAAATATTTCAGTGAGCTCCTTCTATCACTAGGGCAACTGGCAACAAAGGTATTTACGGTTGGTAGGTCCCGGTTATAGTGGTTTTGTTTTGGGAAGTTTGGGGAGCCATTTTGGGGGCATTTTTTAAAATTAAAGAGTGATATATGTTTAGGATTAACACTATCATGACTTTGGTGGCAACAAAAATCCATGAGGATCTCTCTAAATAGACAACTAACCATCTATAAGAAGAGCAAATGCCATCAAAGAAAACAGAATGAAGTGACTTCAGCAATTGTACCACCATCAGTTCTTGGGCAAATGGACTAAAAAGTAGAGACCAGGCTGGCTTTATGTTCCCCAGTGAAAAAGGAAAAACAGGATCATTTCTGTTGTCCTTAATAGTAAGGCACGTCACAGTTTGGAAATATGATTTAGATGAAACATGCCCTTTAGAAAGATTCCAGTTAATGTGTCACAGACCTGTGAATGCAGGAAAGTGTCGTGCTGGAGCCATTCACTTAGATTCAGGAGAGGGCAAGGTGGGATGTTTGTCTGATTTGAAACAATAAAGGAATTGGTTCCATGTAAAATGAAAAGAAATACTTATTTCCAGTCCTTATAAATTCAAAAATAAATTCATAGTTAGCTCCAAAACACCAGCTTCAAAAATAGCAATTACGTATTATTTGCTAGGATAAATATAAATACGACTCTCAAAATTATTCTAGCTGAATGAGGGGAAAATGTACTTTAGATCTGAGAACTCTGATTGGACTTTTGAATCTATCAAGGGAAGGCCCTCAGAACTTTACCTGAGTGTAGTATTCAAAGCTTGCTGCTCTAATTGTTGGAATATGTTTTCCTCCTTGGAGACAACAAATTTTGAATTACTTGTCATTAATATTAAAAGCTCGAGGAAGCGGCTGGAAAGCCTTTGAAATGTCTTCGGCCCCACCAGCTTGTCGCTTGTGCTCAGGTGTGCCCCAGGCTCCGAATGATCTGAACTGCCTGCCAGCCTGATTCCTGGGGCACTGGCAGGGGGCAGACAGCGGGCCGGAGCAGAAACTTCTAGGCCGAATGGCTGATCCGGTGAAGCTGAGCAAGTCCCCAGCTGTCCCTGTTCTGAGGTATCTCAGAGCCCACAGAGGTTACAAATGCAGCCTGGCTATTTACAAACACACACACACACACATACACACCCTACCCCTACCAAAATAATAATAATAATAATAATAATTTCTAACTCAACCCATAGTGTTGTCTTGTCACTGCCACTGAGGACCGCTTTGAGTTGCTTTTTTTGTGGTTTATTTTTCCAGAACAGTGTTTTTAGACAAGAAGTCTTCCTTTTACTCAACATTACAATTGACTAGTGAAAATTCTTCTTTACGTTTTTTTCTCTATTATTGTTTTCAGTTGAAAAAGGAAAACCAGGATGTATATGAAGAAAATCTTCATTTCCCACTTCTGCTTATTTTAACCAAAGATGGATAGAAGCTTAAACAGCTCGAAAGATGAAGACAACATCAAGTGCACAGGCAATACTTTCACAAAAGCAGAAATCTGTAGTGGGTATAATATGCAGCAAGCTGTTGGCTCCCTGAGATTTTTAAACCCCCAGGACGTGGGCCCCTGCCACCTCTGAGACATTCCATGTGTGGGTTATGGGGTCCACCTGTCCTCACCCACGTGACTCTCCAGCCATCCTAGACTCCTCTTTTTTGCCTCCCCTGTTGCTCTTTCTGCACCAAACCTTTGTCTTTAAATATGTATAAGCAGCCTATGTGAGCTTTGAATGGGACTTGTAAGCCACCCAAATATTTTTCCCTCTCAGATTGAGAGAGAATTTCTTTTGGTGATTCATATCCCATCCCACCCCACTCCCTTTAGAAAATATCCTGGTCTTTGTTGTATTTTTAGTGATGGTCGTTTTTCATCTGTCAAACCAGCAAACATGATGATTCTTTCCTAGTTAAAAAAATAAATAAAACAAATCTTTCAGATCACCCTCAAATTAATTGTATTAAATCTGCCATCTTTCTCTCTGCCCCCCACTCTTTTTAATGGCTGTCTCTCTCACCCATTCTCTTTTTCCTTTTAAACAGGATGTTTTTTTTCCCTATAGATGTATAAGAAATGACTACATCAGCCCAAAGCCTCATAAACTGACCGTTTGTCCTCTGGACACAATAGCGTGGCCAGCCCTCTGCTCCTCCTCTCCAATTATGTGTGATTAGTCTCAATGTGTTGTGTCAAGAAGGAGGAGTGTGCTGAGTGCTTATTATCTGTTTAGGTACAAGAAGAGCACATTTAGGCTCTGACTATGAATGAAAAGTGAGCCTTTATCGGGGCTCAAATCTACTGCTGTTCTCCAGGCCTCTTTCAAAACAGGTCCTTCCCCGGGAAATTTTTGAATAAATGGTTGCTAAAACAAGGTGGCAACCAGGGCGAGCTTTTAAAAACTCAATCACACAATTATCTGATTGAAAGTAAGTATATATAGTTCTATGCGGTGATGCAAGTGTATGGTAAACATTTAGTAGATGCTACCTAGGATTAAGAGAGAATGACTTTTCTGCAGGGAACCCAAGCTTCTCCTTGCCTGGTGCATCCCCACAATGCTCTAACGCCTTTTGTGGAAATTCAGATGTTTATCTGTAAGGAATCATCTGTACCCACTTTGACAGTAATGTCAGAAGTAGGCTAGCCATATAGGGATACTCATATCTTTAGTAGAGCCAAAGCATGTATTTAGCATGGTACAATTAAAGTGAGAGGTGAGACAAGGTGTGGGGGGTGGTGGGGAGCGAGTCCTTTTGCATGTTAAACAAACTTAGCTGTCATAAAAACAGCGACTCTCAAATGTCTTCTCTGCTCACTTCTATCATCAAACAAATTTTTCACCATCAGTTTGCATGTCCTTGTATTCACCACTTTTTCTGCTCCATTAGAGCACCTAGATGGATCTCGGAAGGCATAGGTCAAGTCGCAGTTAGATCATACATTTCTTTCTCACAAAAACTTGAATTGCAATGCCAAGTGATGGGCTAACATCACAATAACAGCAATTTATTCCTCTTTGGATAAAACAGCAGTCTATTCTCAGTGCTAGATAAAGACCAGGGCAATGCAAACCAGCCATTTAGCTGAGTAGTTCAGCTAGTGGCAGCTCTCCTTTGGCGACTGTATAGGTTGCACACTGGCTTCGCATTTTCTTGTTTAAAAATTAGAATTTGGAATGTTTTAAAAGGCAACGCAGGTAGTTTATAGTGGTGAAAATACAGAGAAATGATTTCTTCTGAAAAACCTGCAACTAAAATTGCCAGACAAAGGAAACCCATCCCTGCAGTAGCATCTAAGATGGTCTATTCTTATTTTTTTTTCTTGTAAAATATAGAAGAGCAGAACCACGAGACTATTTCCATTTTTTTCTCATGAAAATACATGAATTGGCAAGAATTCAACTTACATTTGTGTGTTGTGGGTGTAGAAACCCAATGTTTATTTCACTGGAAGAAATTGTATTTTAAAAAGTTTACTAGTAGTGTATTTTTTTTTCTTAATATCTGAGAATAGTAGGGTACAGTAACCTAAGCATGAGACAGGGTATAAGAATTGAGCTATTGCTACCCAAAGACATTGAGTAAAGAAATACACACATTATGTGATTAAAACCTAGAGAATCTTTTGTAAAAACGTTAAGGGTTTCATAGACTGTCTTTTAATGGGACCCTCACTTGAAGATATTACTAGTCCAGGCTCTTTTGGAAGTTTGTAAGAAACTAACATTGTGTAATATTGACTAGTTTAAAAATATTCTTATTTTCTCAGATTTTGGTGAGAAGCCAGTATTGAGAGGGTGAAAAGATATAGCTATTTTACACAGTTCATCCATTTACATTTCTTTAAAACTTTATGATTAAGAATTATTTCTTTATGATTAGAATAATTATTAAGAATTATTTATGAACTTTACACAGTTCATCCATTTACATTTCTTTAAAACTTTATGATTAAGAATTAATTAAGTACTGGGTTGCATAATTGCAATTGAAATACCACATTCCATAATTGTCTATGTAATTGTGCATGTGTTTGTTTCAAAACAAAGCCTGTCTTTGAAATTGTAAGAATTATTATGATATTCCTGCTCCCGGTGTACCTGTATCTTCTGAGGAAACTTACTAATCTCCTTTGTCATACTAAGTAGATTTGGTTAGATGTAAGAATGTTTCTAATATCGCCCGTAGTCAGTTCTAAAGCAGTGATATGAACAGCCACATACAAGTTGGTTATAAGAAATATATTTTATTTTATAGCAAGACATACACTGTGAATTGGGATAAAAGTGCTAGAAAAGACTGCCTAAGAGGCTGATGCTATTTTATATAAATTGTGTATTTTGTTGGCTTTTTGACTGAGCATGAAAATGTAACTTCCATTAGGGAAGGGTAATTTAGGTGCTCAGTATTCAGCAGAAAACTTGTCGGGCCATAAAAGCTTTTCTGGCTGGTTCCTCGGGTGTTTGCAGAGAAGAGCTGCCCGCCCCTTGCTGATTTTCCCTTTGGCTTCAGTATGGGCTGAATTTACCACTGCATACCTGTTGAATCAATTTGGGGGATCCAGCAGTTAACTGAGTGAATGGAAGGATTAGTGGCCCTCTGGAGCCCTATTTCAACAGCCAGGTGTCTTTCCTAAACTAGTTAACTGCTTTTGACAGTTGGAGAACCTGGTTTTAATACCATAGGTAGGAGATTGTTGCGGTTGGAGGGGGGCGGGGTTGAGGGTGCGTTCCTTCTCTCCATCTACAAATGTGGGGCATGCCTTCTTCTCCTAAGGGTTAGATTTCTTCTTCTTCTTCATTTTTAGTAGGAGTGGACTGTCCCCTTGCCTCAACCCAGCTTCCATGGGGCCTTTGTGCTTAAGCAGCCTTTGACTTGTTCCCAGTCTATGCCAAGCAACTGGGTGGCATTGTCCAGCGGGACCCTTTCACTGGGCTTGGGGAGGGGGCAGGATGCTCACACAGGAGATGGAGTCATGTGTACGTAGACACACACAAACATATACACACACACACCTGGAAGACAGACCTGTTTAGACCCTTGATCTGGGCTCCAGATTCCAGATATACTCCCTACCCCAGATCAAAAACCTCCTGAGTTCAGACTGTATGAAATATATAACTGGACGGAGTGTAGCCCAGAGAGGAAAAATTGATTTGAAAGTCAGATTGGGTCTCCTTAGAAACTGAATTTGGACAGAGGGCAAATATGTTTTTCGTGAATGGACTATTTCCAAATTAAGAAGGAGCCCATTGGTGTTTAACAAACCATTACGCCTGAAATGCCATGTTTAATTCTCAGATTTCGTTTTACCCAGAGACCTTACTGCCCAGGCTGTGACTAAATGCTCACTGTGTTCTCTGCCCTGGAAGTCTGTTCATTTGGAGTCTATATTTTGCCTTTTTTGTCCCCCTGACTTTTCAATTAATACATTTTTTAATAGATAAAACAGATCATACTGTGACTTTTAAAATGTCAACAAGCTTGTAAACAGAAATGTAATAAAATGGCTAATAGGAGATTCAATAGTTAATAGAGGGCCTGAAGTGTGAGCAAATACAGTAGCTGCATATTGGAAACTGTGCAAGTGAAGATGGCTTTAGTATTGCAAACTGAGGAAGAAAATTGTTTTTAATTAGCACCTTCATAAGAACTGCTGATTAATACTGTTTTGTTTGGTGAAAAGCTTTCAGCTGAGTAATTTGTACAGCCATTACAACAGTTTTGTTAGAGCGGGACTCCTGTTGTTAAACACAAACAGCAGATGATAATGGTGGAAGATGAGTTTGTCATGTAACAATTTACCTTATTGAAAAAAGCTTTATATTAAACCCAATACAGTAGGTACCAGCAGAAATCACATATTTTAAATCCTTCCAAAATTGCAGTGTGCCATGCTTGTATTTTTTTTTCAGGGACTAGAAGCAGATTTTATATCATTTATAAAATTATATACACAATTTAAAGATGGTGTAGCATGGACAGACCACTTTCTCAGCAGCAGTTTACATCAGAACGGTAAAGTGGCCGGGTATTCAAACACTTTCTAACTACACAAAGCAGGTTGGAAAATGGAATCCTAATTAAATAATGTTACTGAGATGTAAATGTGCATTGGGACAGGATGTAGGGAAATAAGAATTAGTGTTTCTACACTAGGTGGGTTTATCACACGTCGGATCTTTTTTTAAAACAAAAACAAAAACAAAAACTCTTTCTCGAGGAAAGTTTAATTAACCTTTTTTTTTTTTTCCCCCTGGAGGTGTTTTTAAGCAATCAGGGAAAGGAGTGCCCATTCAATGAGACCTAACCAGGGAATAAGAGGCTGGTTTCAGTGAACTCCATCAAATGGATAGTGTCCTAGCCAGAAATATGGAAACTTTTTTCTTTTAAATAAAATGCAATGGCAAAGCATATTTGCATTAAAATATTACACTAACCCAGGCTGGTAAGAACTGTAAATTATTGGAGTGGTGTAATAGAGCATGAGTTCTTTTTTTTTTTTTTTTTTAAGACAGGCCTTTGGGGTAATAACAAGGGTTGAGGCTCACGACAGTGCCAAATAAGCTTTAGACAGCATAATAGTCTGCAAAGAAAGCCACAGAGCACTAATGTGAAGGAAGAGCTGTCCACCACATGCAGCAAAAATCACCAAAGGTCATTTTATGGTAGCAATTGTGACATAAAATTGGTGGTCATGCTACATGTCTAATACTCAGCACAGCTTTATAAATGATGGGCCCCTAGCGATGGCTGTCATTAAGTGCTTTCATCATAATAAACTTTAAACTGTTGGCTTTATGAATCGCCAGCTAGCTTCAGCTGTTCGTTGGACGGAGCTTGCAGTGCCTTAAGTGTGGCAAGATCTATTAGGAATTGCAACCATGTTTCAAGCGTACTTGGCTTCCCCACTCCTGGGGTGATTGCTGCCTATTAAACGGCGTCTGGGAAGATTTTCCTCCGGCAATCTCTGATCAAGAGCTTTTTTGGGCTTTGACCTGCATTTCCTTCAAGACTTTCTCTGAGGAGTTTTCTAAGAGCAAAACTCCAGAGGATTTATAGCCACTTCTGATTAATACCTTTCCAGTTTTTTCTAGCAACGCTCCCACTGTTGCATAGAGAAAAGCTTTCATTGTTCCTGAGGTGCTTATTTGTGACCTTTTCTCTGCTTCCTGATTCCCTCTAACCGTGTTCTCTCAGCGAAATCCTCGGCGTGGAACCAAGACAGTCGGTGAAGTTGTTACAGCTGGAGAGACAGAGGAGGAAAGAGAGGGAGGCTTTTATATTTTTAAAGAATTACATGCAGAGCAGCCCGGCCCCCGCCTATTTAAATACCCGCCGTGACGTCACGGGCCGCCCGCCGGACCCAGGGCGTCCCTAACGAGCCCTCGGCGTAAACCGAGCCGACACGTAAAGATTTCATGATTCGAATTACACTTTCATTAACCTTTAGCTTAGGAAGTCTTTTAGTTTCCATAAATCTTACAGTGGCTTACCGTCTGTCCTACTGATGTGAATAATAGATGTTTAGGGAAATCGCTCTTTAAAAACCCAGGGTATTTAATTTACAAGGGCTAAATACATATTTCAGAATCACTCGGCAAGAACTTTAATTACTTCTTGTTGCTTTTTGTAACTTGGAGGTCGCCCCCGCCCATCCCCCGCTCCAGTTCTCTTCTGCTTGACTCAGATGTTTTTGAGATGGTGAAAGCTTTCAATGTCTAAGTCTCTGCCTTAATACTCTTATTAGCCTTTTAAGCTAAGTAATGTCCTCAAGATGGTTCGGGGATGTCTCAGGTGTGGACCATTACCCAATTAAATTAGCAAACCTGAGGGACTGGATTAGGACTCAGCAGGGGACACCTGGGGATGCCAGGGCCCAGCCCAGGTTCCGACTAGCAGGGTTCTGGCCATGAATAAATAGTGAGGGTCAGCCCGCTAGGTAGACTCAGTCACAAACTTGTCTTACCAGATAAAGTGTTGCAGATTAAACTATTTTACACCCCCCCCCCCCCGGGAGATCTCTGTGGCTGTAGGAGTGTATAGGAAAACCATCAGCTGATGTGTCAAGTGGAAGGGAAAACTGAAGTTGAAGGATTCTTGGCTTTTCACATACAAAGGCATCCTCCCATCCCTCCCGGCCAGCCAGCGAAGGATGGGCAAGAGCACCTGGAGGCTGCTGCCCAGGTGCAAGGGGTGGGGGTGGGGCCAGCTGCAGAATGCCCCAGAACAAAGACACCTCCAGAGGCCTCCTCGGAGGTCACCTGCTGCCTCCAGGGCAGATTAAGAAGGACTGGAGAGGGCACTTGGAGGAAATGGTGCTGTTCTTTGGGAAATCAATTCGTCCCACCCTTAATAGGGTGTTTTGCCCTCCCTCTTTGGGAGTTCCGGGCAATGGGCTTCCAGGTCTCTCCATAACAGTTCTGGAAGAGGCGGCCCCTTTGCCAGCCCCTGTTCGTTCAAACAGCCCGTGCCCCTCAAGAATCTCTTCTGCTCTCTGCCGTGTTTCACTTCCCTTTTCTCCCTCTTTGGGCTCTCCCGCCCCTCTCTGTACCCAAGCTCCTTTCATAATGAGGCTGGAAGTGGAACTTTCCCCCACTCCCTTACTTTGAAATTTCTTTTTTCCCAGTGACCTGGGCTGCACTTTACCCCCGCTCCCTGCCTGCCAGTCTCCTCAGGGTTAGGGCCTTTCTCTTTCCATTCTTTCAGGTTCCCCCTCCTTGGGAGCTCCAGGAGGCCAGGCCTTCCAGAATCTGATCTCCTTCCAACACTGCAGCCCCCCTGAGGAGGAAGGAAGAAGCCTCCTCCGAATGAATGGCCGGTAAGGAGGTTTTTAATTTGTCTGGAGCTCCAAGAAAAAAGCCTCTGAGCAGTGGCCCTCCCTCACCACATTTGGAAGCCCCCAGGCCTTCCCGGTGGCTGCTGTCACCTTTCCATCCCAGGCCAGGTCCACGGGCAGAATGGGCGGAGGGGTCTGAACACACTCTTGTGTGAGGTTTGCCTCTGCGATTTAGAAGAACGGCTTTGTCAGTTAGATTCTACTTTGTGATTGTTTGCTGGCTACCGATGTGAGAAATTTGGGACCTGGGCAGGGTCTGGAAGTGAGCTCAGCCCATGGCGATCGTGATTTGCAGTCAGCCTTCTGATGGCTAAGCTCTCCTTGAGCTTGGGGGAAATGTCACCGTGCCGTCCCCGACACAGTCCATTTAAAGAGAGTCCATTTAAAAGCTTTGCCCACCTGACCTGTGGTTTCACCTCCAGGTGCATTAGCCTTCATTTCCGTTACAGGCTTTATTTTTAGGAGCAGAGGCCACAGCCCTGACCGGCCTATGTTTTGAGTGGAAGGCTGAGGCTCTCTCTCTCCCTATTCTTGGCCAAACCGTTTATATAAGCAGCATCTCAGGATGCTAGGAGACAGCAGAATGAAGCAGCTCACAGCACCCAAGTAACCCCATGTCTTTCCTGTCTGCCCAGCTATTCCTACTCAGCCCACTCACTTCAGGCTGTGGGGGCCCACCAGGCTGAGTGACAGAGGTTTAAGGGGCTCCAGCTGGCCTTCCTCCTTGCTGTCAGTGTTTTGGCCTCACCTCACAATCAGGCTACTTCTAAGCTCTACTTCTGTTAACTCGTTCAAGATCGTGTGCCCTGCACAGTGTGGTCAAACAGTACTGAAACAAAGTTTGGAGCAGAGAAAGTTTTATTGAAGGGCCACACAAAGAGAATAAATGAGCCCCCAAACCCAAACTCCCCCAAAGATTTGAGCAAAGCATTTTGAAAGGCAAAGTGAGGGAGAGGAGTGGTTGGTTGTTGCAGACTTCTTGGTGTAGGAATGCTTTGTCCTTGCAGCTATCCATGCAGGTCAAGTCACCATATTCCTGTGAACCTCCATCAAGCTAAATATTCCCTTTTCTGCAACTATTTATCTCTATATGAACAGAAAACTGTTATACCCTTAAAGGTCAGAGAGCCTTGAGAATGTATATTTCAGGCTAAAGGCAACAGTCTTAAAGCAAAAGCAATAGAATACAAAGGTTAAAGTAAAAGAGACAGAGCTAATATGGAGTCAGATTTGTTCTTCCCTTTTACACTTTCAGCCTCCCTCCCCCACCCCCAACAGACTAGATAGACCATAGGGTGGTTTCAATATTCTTAAGATAAATATGATACTGAAGGCATTTATCTGACTCTGCCCTTATGGTTGAAAAAAAATGGCAGCAATATTTGGCAATTCCTCCCCATCAAGAAATGGAATCTATTTCTCCACCCCTTGGTTCTGAACTTACGTTGGCTTACTTTAGTCAATGAGATATTCATAAACATGAGTACAAGCAGAGGTTTGAAAATCATTTGCCCATTGGGGTTTTCTCTTGGAACCCAAATACTGTGTGAAAAAGTCCAAGCTATCCTGCTATACACTGAAGACATATGACCCACTCACCCCCATCATTCCAGCCACGTGAGCAAAGGCATCCAGGACCAAACAGTCCCTGGCCGACTCAGTTGCCCATTATTACATGCGAGCAAGCCTGGTGAGACCAACCTGAATGGCCTACTCACAGACTCATGAGCTAATAAAGGATAGTTTTAAGCAACTAAGTTAAGTTTAGGGGCAGTTTGTTACACAGCAGTAGACAGCTGATACAATCTTGATCTTTTCTCTCTGACTTACTTTTCTGCATCTCTTAAGCATATCTTGAGGTACCAAATCTTTTGAGATAATGCTTTGCCTAAAACATGTTGAGTTACATAGTGACTACTACTGTGAAAAGACAAAAAGAGGATTCAGGCCCCACAGGTCTCACTCAACCTTCAGAAAAATCAGCTTGGCAAAGGCAAATCCCTCAGACTCCTGGGAGAAAACACAAGAGAAAATGGGCTGCAGGAGGAAGTACAATGGATTCAGAATAACTAGGTTCTAGGCTGGGCTCCCCCAGTAACAAACTGGTGATTTTAGGCAAACTACTTGATCTCTCTGGACATATTTTTTCCTGTGTGAACTAGATAATTTCCCATTTCATGCTAAATTTAAAGTAGTTAAGATAAAAACATCCCATCATCACTCAGGGTCAGAGATTTTGACTACCTCAGAGAATAAGAATTCTCTGATACTACCAGGAAAGAGTTGTCCCACATTAGCTTGTCCCTAGAGAACAGTAGTTCTCAGGAGACTTTCTTTTGTGAGTTTTAGAATGACCCAGCTGTTTCACCTTGCTCTGTCCCAGGCTGGTTATAGTGGGAGTGCTGCCTTAGTCACCAGTGTGGGGAGAAGAGGAACAGTGAGGGTCTGAGTACCTCCATGTTTATTCGCTTACAAATGTTTTTGTGTGCCATCACCCTTTCAGCTGCTGGGGATCTAATAGTGAAAAAGAAAGACCCCCATGACATGCTGGGGCCTAGTCAGAAAGACAAAACTGCTCTCCACATGAGTGACTTGCATTGTAAATAATAAACAAATGTGCCAGTGCAATTATAAAATTATTATAAATTATAGTAAGTTCAGTGGAAAACAAATAGGGTGCTATAGGTAGAGAGTAATAGCCTACCTCAGACAGGGTGGTGGGAGAAGGCCTCTCTGAGGCGTCTCGGCTGAAAAAAGGAGTCATCACACTAAGAGATGACAGGGGGTCAGAGGGGTTCAGGTGGCCCGAAGCTTGTGGAGTCTGAGGATGAATGCTAGGTCAGTATGTCACTGAGGCCTCTGAGGAGGAACATGAGATGGCCAAGAGCCAACTTGTGCAGGATTTAGTAAGACTGGATTTTATTTGGAGTCTGATGAGCAGTCATTGAAGGGTTTGGAGTGATGAGAATGATATAGTCTGAGGGACATTTTTTAAAGATCAGTCTGAATGCTGGGTGGGGAGTAGTCTCGAAGGAGTGGAGATTCCAGTGAAGGGGCTCCTGTAATGTGGTCCTGGTGAAAGAAAATAGCCACATGGGCAGGGGACGTGAGTGACAATGGGGGAAAGAGGAGCAAACCAACTCGAAGTGTGGTTGTGATGTAGAATGGACAGGATTTGCTCGGGTGCTTCCTCATAAAGTTGCAGGAGGTGTCAACCTAAAAGTCTGAACCTTCTGCTCTGGGAATGTAAGCCCTTTGGCCTTAATCTACCTTACCCGCCCCCATGAGGCTCGGATGTGGGAGGTGTGAGGGGGATAAACTGGGAAAGGATGGCGCCTCGCTCTCCTCCACTTCCAGCTTCATGGTCTGCACACTTATATAAGGGCACTTGGAAATCGGGGGTCCTTCATTACCTGATGACTTCTTGAGCTCCAGATTGCCTGACATCCTCTTATTCTCTCAGAGCAGGAGGTGGCGACAGTAGCTAGACAGGATAGGGCTGTAGGATAGGAAATAGATTCCTGTTTGTGGCTATAACCTCTAGCCTTTCATTCATATTGTTTTTCTGGGATCTGCACACTTGGGAATATTCAGGGGAAGACCCGAGGGGGGTCAGAGACTGGCCTCTGTCCTCGTCCTGAGGCCCCCACTGAGCCCCACAAATGCAGAGCAAGTAATTGTCTAGGAGGCAAGATTTAAGGAGCAGAGGAACGTTCTCAGATAGGAAAGAAACATGTTGCTGATACCCCACCTTCTGAACCCCAGGCAGGGGTCATCGTCAGAATCAAGCTCCTCTGGGAGAAGTGATGTTCTCATGGTCCTGGGTGTGAAAGATCTGGGGTGAGGCCTGAAAGGGGGAGGGGATGGAGAGCAGGTGGTAGAGAGAGGACACAGGGAATCTAGAGGAGGAAAAGGGGCCCAAGGCCAGAGGAAAGAGCGGAAATGGAGGAATCCAAGTGTCAGAGCCACTCATCAGCTTCACAAGGTTACCTGAGCCAGGAGGGCCATCCTGATGGCCTGTCCACCTTGTGCAGGGGGACTGGAGCACCAGGCAGGTGGGGTCCCTGTCCACGTGGTGCTTATAAACTCAGAAGAGAGACAGAGCCTGTCCTCAAGTGCGGCAAATCCATGGAGAAGGACTGGCCAAGGATTGTTCGAGATCAGCAGAAGGAGCAGGTGCCTTTTGAAAGAGGAGGCAGGGTTTATATTAGACCACAACAGTCCTGGCAGGAGGAGGAAAGGCCCTACCAGGGGCATGAAGCTCATGAAGATTTCAGGAAATGTAGACTTGCAGGAAATGCAGGAATGTGAGTTAAATGAGGTAAAGAGTCATTGGTTCACTTGTCCTAACAGGTGCCAGGCACTCAGGGGAGAGTTATGAACTAGAGCGACAAATTCTGTGACCCCACGGAACGGCATTCAGTGGAGGGGGAGAGGCAAACTACATGTGCACAAACCCGACCGGTTCAAATCGGGAGAGATGTGGTGAAGACAATAAAATACACTGATGTTTTAGAAAGTGACTGGGCCTTCTTTTGATACATGGTCAAGGAAGTTCTCCTGAAGGAGGCACCACTTTAGTTGAAATGAAAAAGCCAGCCTTTGGAGACTGAAAGAGCAGTGAAAGCAGAGATAATAGCAAGTGCAAAGGCCCCGAGGCAGGACCAAGTGTGCAGAATGCAGGTGTGTGGGGCATGTCGGGTGAGCAGAGAATGACGCGAGGGGTGTACAGGACCTTGTAGGCCCAGAGAGGAGGCCAGGACCACCAGAGGAGTGACATGGCCTTGGCTTCTCTGTTTAGAAGCTCACTCCGGCTGCTACGCGGAGGCTGGGGGGATTCAGGAAAGGAAGTTGGAAGTCCATCAGAAGATGTAATAGACAGGAGGTGGACAGGTGAAGGGAGAACACGGAGACAGCCGAGGGCTGGACAGTGAGGAAGGAGCATCTATTCAGCCTAAAGGGCTGGACTTTATCCAGGAGATGCGGGGGCATTGGGACTGCTGGCCTGATGTGGCCTTTCCAAGGACCTGATGTGAAAGCATTCCTATACAGGTGGATGCAGACATGGAAGCAGAGTCCCAGGTCTGTCTTTGTAGCATGTGCCGAGTGCAGGACCTCACTGAGGGCTCTGTCGCAGGAGCCTGGCCCTACTGATGCGCCCTGAGAGCCCCAGGGCCAGTGCGTTGACCCACGAGAGCAGGGGTAGTGCTTCATTCATGAGGCAGCCTAACACCTGGCACATAGTGGGTGGTGGAAAAGGAAGGCCAGAGAAAGGAGGCTGGGCAAGAGCCAGCCCAGAACATCTCTCTGGCCCCATCTCAACCCTCTTTTCTGGCCTGCACTCAGGAATTGGCAGAAATGTCACAAACCTCCCAAAAAATACCTCTAAAAGTTGTCCTCAGAGATCACATTTTCTATTAAAAAATCGTGGGAGTAAAGGACAGAAAGCCCCTAATGAGGACCAGATGGACCCAAAGAGAAACAGTAGAAGCAACTCATATTCTGTAAGTGCTTACTGTGCCCCAGGCCTTTTGTTAAGGGCTTTCTGTATATCATCTCATTTTATCTTCACAACAATCCTCTGACATTGTTACTGTTATCATCCCTCTTGTTACAGACAAGAGGATCAGTCTGTAAGGAGAGTGAGACTTAGAGAGGTGAAATTAAGGGGAAGGCAGCTAGCTGCCTGCCCATCCCCACCCTTGTACCATTTCCGCTGAGGAAATGGTGTGCCCAGAGGAGCCCTGGCCACCACTCTGCCTGGGACCCCCCTGCCTGGAGGAGAGGCACCCCGAGAAAGACGGCTTACTGGTTAACTTGAATGCATGGGAGAAGAAGGGTGGCATCGCCAGTGTGTGGTTGTTAAAGACTGTAGCGCTGTGGAAGCCAAGCAACAGTTGAAAGCTGAGTCTGAGCAAGGGGCAGGATTTGTGATTTGACCAGATGCCAGGCAGTCCACTCCTCCAGTGTGGACACATCCCGGCCCCCGCTCCAGAGAGACTGGGGGTCAGCCACCCATCAAAAGTTGTGTGCCCGACCATGTGTGCATATGTGTGTGGTGCACACCCACCCCCACACACAGGTCCTGCCTGAGAAGGAGCTTTTCCTGGATTTTAGGCTCTGGCTGCCCAGGACCGCAAGTGGTAGAAATGGTTCGGTGGTCCTGGTGGCCAATCTCTAAAATCACTTTAAATGCTTCCCTTGCCTTGGGACTTGATTGCTAACCCCTGGGATGCATGTAGGGAATTTGGTTAGATGGTGTCCAGCACTGTGGCCTTGACAGCTACTCCAGCTCAACGAGGCTGAGGTTAAGCTCAAGGGCCACCAGGTCAGCAAAGGCCAGGTAAATCTTTCTCTGGGTTCTCTTTGCTTTCCCACTGACAAGGCAGAAAGTGAGCTCTTGACAGATCAAGTGTGCCGGGGTGAGAATTCATCCCCTCCCACTGTGATTAAGCCGCTTCTGATCATCCCTACCAGAGGCAAGGAAGATGAAAATTAAGGAAAACTGAAGAGAGGAGGAAAGGCCAGCACGTAACCTGGTTGACACTGATGACCATCTCTGGGAGGACAAAATAAAGATGGGTGGTCCTCCCCAGGAAGCCAGAGGTGAAAAGGAGACCAAGAGTTAGCTGACGTGCTGTGAGTAGGGACAAGAAAATTGTACAGATGATCCACAGAGAAATTATTCTGGGATAATTCTGACTCTTAGCACAAAGGAGCACACACACAACAACTCTGTCTCTTGGGTGCATGTTGCCTCGCTGCCTGGTTGCCAGGTAGAGGAGGAGGGTGGAGAAAATTCCTTTTCCATCCAGTGCTTTGGGGCATCACTGCAGCCATTAAAAAAAAAAAAAGAATCAAGCCTAGTTAAACATATATCTCTATCTTAGTGAATCTCAGTGAAGAAGAAAAGGAGGAGGAACTTGGGCAGGGTTTGAGGCAGCACACTGTTCCCTGAGGATCTTTGGTCTCAGCCGTGGATCCTGAGCACTTGGGGTAGGGAAGGTGATCACCCCAAAGGTCTCTGTTACTTGCAAGGCTTAGGACAGACAGATTTTCGCTCGCCTGCTCGCTTCAGTCATGTCCAGCTCTTTGTAACGCTGTGGACTGTAGCCTGCCAGGCTCCTCTGTCCATGGGATTCTCCAGGCAAGAATACTGGAGTGGTTGCCATGCCCTCCTACAGGGGATCTTCCCAACCCAGGGATTGAACCCAAGTCTCCTGCGCTGGCAGATGGGTTCTCTGCCACTAGCGCCAAGATCTTATCTGGGAAGATTTTATTTGGCTGCTAACCTGATTAGATGGTTGGATGGCATCACCGACTCCATGGACATGAACTTGGGCAAACTCCGGGAGATAATGAGGGATTGGGAGGCCTGGCGTGCTGCAGTCCATGAGGTTGGCAAAGAGTCAGATACAATTTAGCAACTGAACAGAAATCTGATCAGCTTTCACTTCTGGAATTTTTGTTTTTAAATTAGGAGTAAACAACATTCTTTGAAGTCAATGTTAGATTCAGATTTTTTTTTCTACCTTTGATGGTGGCAGCAATAACTACTAACCTGACATCTACAACTCAAGTTTCTACCTTAGGTTTTCCATCAACGGGGGTCTGCAAAAAGGGGCCGAGGGGAGAGAGATGTTTACTTAGCTCCTTCCATTCCAAATTAAATATTCAAATGGGAGTTTGTTTAGAGGCATTGTTGAGGCTTCAGCTTTAATTTAATGGAAAGGCACTGTCCCCCGAAGAAAGGTTTCATTAGGCCAGCCGGCACACCATTTCCCTCATCTGGAGAAAACAATCTGGGTGAAGCCTACCCATCATAATCCTCTCTTCAGCTTTATGGTGACAAAAGACTCTTAATACAGAAAATGTTCCGAGGGAGAAGAAACACTTCCCAAACAAGCGATCTCTCCTTCCAGGCCAGGTAACAAAGGGTTCGGAGGAATTCGGTGGGGCCTCCTGGCCACCTGCCGGCTAAGCCCATGGTCCGTGGATTAACTGCAGCTCTGACTGACTGGAAAGGCAAGTTACATGGCAGAGCAAACAAAATTCAGACTGTCCTTTACACATGGTAATCCCAAATTTAATAAGAGCCTCAGTGCTGGGAAACCAGAGCCGAAAAGGTAGCTGCCGTGTGGGGCCCTATTGTTCCCAGCCGGGTATGTCGCCATTGGTTCTGGGCAGCCTCTGGACCCCCATCCCCCTGCCGGACACTATGGCTTCAACTAAGAAAGTTCCTCCTGGCCCTTGGGGTATGTTGGCTGTTTGCCCTCCTTCCAGACTTCAGGGACCTTGCTGGAGATGAGTCTTAACTTTGTCTGTTCCAAAGTCCCTATAGAAGCTGGGGTGCTCAGAAGGCCATGTGAGCCTCAAGTCCTGAGGGCTGCACTGGAATCCTCCTCCCTGACCATGGGGCTCTCCATAAACAGATCTGAGGCTTCAGGCAAGCGCCCACGGAAGCCTGTGATTCAGGCCCTGGTCAGTGCTGACGCGGGCCTCATCAGTTACCAGACCTCTGAGGTAGAGCATGTGTGGGGCTGGACTCTGGTCACCCTATGGGTTATTTCTCAATTAGCTGAAGAAGTGTTTCTCCTAGAGGTAACTTCATAATGATTCACTTGTTCAAGAGAGATTTCTTGAGCGCCTGCTATATGCCAGTTTGTGCTCAAGTGCCTAGGACATCAAAGTGAACAGTAAATAGATGGTGCCCAAAGAAGGGGTGTTCTCATTCTAGCTTCTGGGCACCTCAAACCTACATAGAAAGAAAGCTGGGGAAACAGGCTCTGGCTTATGTGGACCATGGTAAGAATCAATGCCATGAGATGCTGAACATCTGGGAATAACGCTTTCCTGGGGAGACTCTAAACTTCAGGTGGGCCTCCTGGTTTAGGGGCACCAAGCTGTAGAAAGATGGAGGAATTAAAATGATAAAAAGTAAAATTAAGAAAATAAAAAGTTCTTAATCTTCTTGCAGTTCAAGTTGGTGCACCCAGGACATACCCTTGCCTTCTATCTTTCCAAAATTTTGTTGAGATAACGTTTTAGAATTCCAGGAAGATGTAAATTTGTCATATTAAAGAAGGAAAGTAGAGACCACCAACATATAAGAGATGTAAGTAAATATGTCAGGTGTATGGGAGACGTTTTCAGAGGAACCAGCTGAAGGAAACCACACACAGAATAAGAGGCAACAGAGGAGACAGGAGACAGCTTACCCAGAAAATCTCAGAACGGTTCAGGGAAGCCCACTGAGGCAAGGTGGATGCACACAACTGCACAGTAATTCCACACCATCTGTCATTCTTTTGAATTTGACACTGAAAGATACCCACGGAGGCATATGTGAAGAGTAAGGAGAACTACAGTATAAAGGAAATATATGAAAATAAGCAGAAAACTCTCACTTCTGGAGAAACAAGATTCAGCAAACAGAAGATGACTTTAAAATTTTTTTAGAATTCTCAGGTTTGGGAAGACAATACATTCTAAAACTGGGATTTTGAGAAGAAGAA